ATCGAGGCCTTTGCTGGCCAGCGCGTCGTCACTGTGTCGGCTGCGGACCGCCACAGCCTGGCCCTCACCGCCGACGGCGCCCTCTGGAGCTGGGGCTTTGGAGGCGACGGCCGGTTGGGCCACGGCGACACTCAGCACCAGCTGCTGCCTAAGAAGGTCGAGGCGTTGGCAGGGCAGCGCGTTGTCGCTCTGTCGGCGGGAGGCGACCACAGCCTCGCCCTCGCCGCCGACGGCAGCGTCTGGAGCTGGGGCTATGGATACCTTGGCCAGCTGGGCCACGGCGACGTGCAGAACCAGCTGCTGCCCAAGAAGATCGAGGCCTTTGCTGGCCAGCGCGTTGTCGCTGTGTCGGCGGGAGGCGACCACAGCCTCGCCCTCGCCGCCGACGGCGCCGTCTGGTCCTGGGGCTGGGGAGACTTTGGCCGGTTGGGCCACGGTGACACGCAGCACCAGCTGCTGCCGAAGAAAGTCGACACGTTGGCAGGGCAGCGCGCCGTCGCTGTGTCGGCTGGACGCCGACACAGCCTCGCCCTCACCGCCGACGGTGCCGTCTGGAGCTGGGGCTGGGGAGCCTTTGGCAATCTGGGCCACGGCGACCAGCAGGAACAGCTGCTGCCCAAGAAGCTCGAGGCGTTGGCGAGTCGGCGCGTCGTCGCTGTGTCGGCTGCAGCCGTGCATAGCCTCGCCCTCACCGCCGACGGCGCTGTCTTTGCTTGGGGAAAGGGCGATAGCGGCTGCCTAGGACACGGAGAGGACGTGTCCAACCAACTGCTGCCCAAGAAGGTCGAGGCGTGGGCGCCGTGCAGTGAGGTGCCTGCATACCGGTAGTTCCTAGTTGGACAAGGCTCCGAGCCACCAGGGGATTGAGCGTATGAGATAAACCCGAATCTGATGATGGGATTCTGCGGCAGCCGCGTGCGCAACAAAACGAAGCAACGGTTGCGCTTTGTTGGAACGGCTTTTGGGGCTCTCTGATCGCAGAGAGGTTGGGGTCGACCCGGAACAACCCCCGAGGTCTTGCGATGAAGTTTGACACCCCCCCCCCCACAAAAGCAGTTCGGCTGCGCGAGGCGTGTTGGTTAGAGTGCTTTCTGTCTGCTGCCCTGCCACCGCCAACGGATCGCAATGACCCTCGAGATCGCCCACCTCAGCACCGATGAGCTCAACCTGATCTTCGATAGCCTCTCGCCACTCGAGGCGCGCGCAGCGGCATGCGTCTGCCGTCGGTGGCAGCAGCTGGTCAGCCCAAGCCGCCGCCGACTCCTCGCTGTCACGAGTGCCGGCAACAACACAACCATCGCCGCGGCATGGACCACACTAGCCCCTTATGTCCAGGACACTTCGCGTAGGCCCATGGCGCCGCGTCGACGTGGGGCACACCGTGACGCGCATGACGACACTTCCGGGACGCCTGAGTAGGATCAAACGAGATTGTGCTCTTCGATGCGCGTGGGCGCGTGGTGCAGCGCTTTACGGCACTGCCGCCGCCGCAGCGGCGCCAGCGGCGGGGCGGCGGAAGGACGTACCGAGGCGTCTCTTCCTGGCGACAGCAGCGCGGCGCAGGCGGCCGTGACCCACTAGCTAGCCTTTGTCGGGGACCTAACCTGAGCCCATTGAGCCCACCTCGAACCCCCGCCCAGGCAACTGGCCGACCTGCCTCGCCTTTGGACCGCGCGGCGCGCCGGACGCCGCGCAGAGTGCGTCGCGTGCGAGGTCGACTGAGATGCGCCGAGGTCTGCCGAGATGTAGGTTCGTGTCTCGGTTACTGCGAGGCCGTGAGGAGCGCCTCAACCACAGCTGTGAGCAGTAGGCGAGCTCTTCGTCTCTCAGTATCGCGTGAGAGGCGTGCTGCAGTTCGAGCGGTCGCCTCACGGGTACTGCTACCGCCGCACCGTCGCGTCGGCCGCGACTCCCCTGTTGTGACGGCTGCGCAGGGCCTCTCCAGATCGCTGGCCCCGAGAATCTAGGCCGCTTCACTCTCCTCGCCCGAGGGCATCTGCTGTGCGCACGGCAGCCTCTACCTCGCTTGTGTTGACCGAGGGGTGATCGTGCGGCTTGCCTTGGCTGCCGGCGCCGCGCCGCTGGAGGCGACGGCCGGGGTGATCGCGTGCCTTCAGCCTCTCCCGTGAGCAGGCGCGCTGCTCGAGGAGACGCGCCCCTTCGAGGGGACGGCAGGGGAGGCGCCTGCCACTTGCCCCGCGCCGCCAAGCCTGCCACTGCCCCGCCGCCGCCGCTGCCGCTGCGCGTGCCTTCACCGCGCGTCGGCGTGGCAGATGTATGTGTACTGGGGCATGGCCCTCGGCCCAGACGGCAGCTGTGGCGCGACAGAGCCGAGAGGAGCGTGAGCATCGCTTCAGGGCACGGCTCTGTGAGTAGGCCACCTCTATGTTGCGGCGCACGTGAGCGAGGAGGGGGGGCACGCGCCCTCCTCCTCGCTCGCCATGCGTCCGGCCCGTGAGCAGCGCAGCTTCACAAGCGCCACCATCACGTGAACAGGCACTACCTCCGCCCGACACCGATCGGGAGCGGGCGAGTGCTACGGCAGAGGCTCAGCGCCAGCGGCAGCTTCCTCGGCCCCACGGAAGTGTTTGCGGGCCGCGGTGGGAGCAGCCGGCCGACGCTCACACCGCTCTCGATCGAGCGAGGAGCGGCATCTTCACGCAGCGCGGCGTGAATAGGCGCCAGCTCAACCGGCCGTCTGACCCGTGCTTTTGCTCCCATGGCAGCTCCCTCTCCTTTCCTGTCGGCGCCGGCCTTTCTTCACGCCGTGCGCTGTGAACAGGCAACCTGCACATCTCCTCCTTTGTCGCTCCCGGGGGCGCCGCAAGCCAGGCGAGCGTTCGCCAGCCTGCGCCCGGCACTCGGCCCTCTGCCTCTGCCGCTCACGCCACGCTGCTTGCCCGTGGCGACGCCCAGGCCGCTGCGGAGGGGATGCGGCGGGTCGTCTACACCTTTAGTCCGCAAGGCGATTGCCTCGGCTATCTGCGGCCTTCCGCCGGAGCCAACAGAGGCGGTTGTTATTGCGTGAAGCGGGTCCTCGGTCATTGCGGTTGTACGAACGTAGGCGTTCCCCTCGTGCGTGACGCAGCGGCATGCTGTGGGCAGCGTCTCTTCACGCGTGTGGCTGTGAATAGGCGCTTCCCTCATCCGTGACGCGTGGGGCGTCTCTTGTGCGGTGGACGGCGGCTCGAGCTTGCTCGTGGCGTGCCAGGGCGAGGACCCGGCCAGCGAGGAGGCGATCGTCCAGCTGCGGCAGTTTGTCGAGTTGCAGCTGAGGAGACGCGAGGAGGTGTGAGTAGGTGCTTGTGCGCCTGCCGAGCTGCGGCTGTGGCGAGCTGCTTGCCACCGAGCGTGCCTCCGCGCCCGACGCGTCCCGCCCCATCGCGTGTGGTGAGGCGGCGAGCCTCGTAGGAGCAGATGCGTGCATAAAGTGTGCCAATTATGTGGCGAACGTGCCGGGGAGTGGCTGACGCCTCGTGTCTGCTCTCCGGAAGCGCGATGGGATTTGCATCATTTCATTATGAGCCCCACAATGAATCATGATGAGCCGGAAGAAGAGAAGAATCGATCTCGGCTCTTGAGCCCGGCCTGTATGCACAGCACACATCTGGCACGACAAGGGCGTGGACTGGAGCACTCTAGCACACACATACATCGGCACACCAGCTGCGACCAAAGGATTGTTGTTGAGAGAGCAGATCCACCCCTTCCGGCTACATCTGCTCTCTCTCCTCAGCAGAGCAGCACATATCCTACAACATACCTACAAGCACATCTCCTCACACCTCTAGAACCTCGTAGGTAGGTAGGTAGAAAGGTGAAGAACAGAAACAAAGAGGGAAAAAAACACACACAAACGTCGACACGACGGGCGGATTCGCAATCTAAAGGCGCCTCAGCTTTCGGAGCTTGGGCTGCGCCTTGCGGGCATGCCAGCGTGCTCAAAAACGCTGCGGAGCACACGATTCAACTACACCGCCGACTCGTGCCCGTGCTCGCTCGGCGGCTGCACGTCGCTGTGGCCATGCACCGCCTCGCGCCTCTGCTTCAAACACGATCTGCCCTCTGCCGCAGTCGCAGCGTCCCACCGCGCTGCAGCGCTGGGCAGTGCCACCGCGAGCTCCGACCTCGATGGTGACGGTGGCGGCCGGGGCAGCCACGGCGTCACGTACCTCTTCTTCCTCTCCTTCAACCGGTCGTTAGTGCGCAATGCCTTTGCCTCCAACCCGTGGAAGGCGCGTGCCAGGGAAGTCAACCGCGTCCTCTGGTTCATGCACACCGCACGAGCAGTCGGTGTGCGGCCTAGCCGCCGCCACCCGATCGCACCAGCCGCCTAGCCACCTACATGTCAATGTGCAGGCCTCCCGCCGGCGCGGCCTCGCCTCACCCCGCCGCGGCGGACTTCTTCCCATCTACCTGGCACACATGCACGCACGCCCCGCGACAGGCACCCTGCTGCCCGTCCACGCCGTCGTCGCCGGCGACCGCGATGCGGCGAGCGAGGCGAAGCTGGAGGCGGCTGGCAGTGCGGCTGTCGAGCGGGCTCGGAGCTTTCTCGGAGCCACCTCGGAGCGTTCCCATAGGCGGCCGGCGTGAGGCTGCTGTCTGGGCCGATGGTGCCTTCCCCCGCGTGGGCCTCGAAGTGGCACCGCCTCTCCTTCAACAAGATCGCGGCGCTCTCCTTCACGCAGTTCCGCAAGGTGGTTGTCCTCGACAACGACGTCGGCCTGCTCCGGAGCATGGACCACATGCTGCTCCACGCGCCCGCCCCCGCCGCCGTCTTCCACACCACCATCGGACCGCTCGCAAAAAGGACGCCGTGCGCGGTCACGACCGGGCTGCTCGTACTTCGGCCGTCACAGCGCGCCTTTGCCCGCGCGCTCTCCACGCTGGCGGCGATGAACTACTCACGCGAGACCTACGACGGCGGCGACGAGGAGTTCTGGCTCCGCTACTTTGCGGACGGGGCGGCGGCGGGCGAGCCGCTCTACGAGCTGCCGTGGAGGTACCACACGCACCGCTTGCTGCCGCTGCCTCCGGAAGAGTGGTACCGCGTGCGCATGCTCCACCTCATCGGCAGCCTGGCCGGCCGCGGCTTCTGCATCCCGCGGAACGCGACCCGCGCCGCAGAAATGTATCCGACGTGGACCACCAGGACAGAGAAATGGGGGCTGTGAACGAAGAGGTGTCAGCACAGGGTTCGCCCACCCTCTCAAACCGACTCGCACAATCGGTCGATTTAAAAATAAAACAAAAAGAGACGAAAATGGGATTCCTTTTTTAATACCCATCTCACACTAGAGAGGTGTCTGTTTTTATTTAAAATTACTAAACCCAGTTTTCTCGAGTTCATTTCACTATGTTTTTTCACCACTCACAACGTCTGTCGTCCTCATCTCCAAAAGCCGCCTGCGAGGTAAAGCCGCAGCCCTCCCGTTAATTACGCGATTGCTCGCCGACGGCGACGCGCGGCACCGCAGCACTTGGAGCACTTGGAGTGCAGCTCTTCGGCCTTTGCACGATGCGTGAGCGTGTCGAGATGCGCGTGTGGGAGCAACGAGACGCTCGGCGCTGCCCGACCGAATACCGTTACCGAAATAGACAGGCAGAACCGCTGCTACACGAGCTCGTACCTGCTTCTAGGCGTGTTTTCCGTTTTGAGGAGGTGCTCGCTGAGCAGGCCTGTGACAGCTGGTTGGTCTTTGTTGTAAACTTGTAGTCTAAAATTCAGTCTTAAGGTCCGACCTGTGCGCTGTGGGCACTGCCTCTCTGCCTGCGCTCGGCACCACCTCGGTATACAAAATGCGCCTGCGGGCGGACCCTCACAGATCACAGATCACAGCCTTGTTATTGAGAAGAAAATACCCCTATGGCGCAGATCACAGATCTAGGCTTCGTGGATGCGTCCACACCCAACGTTCGCCAATCGTGCGTTTCATGGGCGAGCCCCTCCGCACCGTCGTGCGGGTCAAGCGTGCCGAGGCGGGATACGAGGGGCGAGATGCGGGCGCGGGGTCCCTCTTCATCGCCGGCAACGCCCTCGAGCTCGCCCCTCCGGATCGTGGCGACGGCGTGAGACACTCGTGCGCCATATGAGTGATGCAGATTCTGCGCCAATACGTTAGAGTGATCGAGTCGAGGCCGCATCAACTGCCCCAGCGCCTCCACCGCCAACGCTGCCGTCCCAACCGCGTGATGCAGCGCCTACCCACCCTCCAGGTACGGCGCCATCTACGACTCCTTTGCCTCCGACCAAGACCTGTGCGAGGTCGAAGTGAGGCCACTCGCCGCCTCACTGGCCACCGGCCTCAATGCAGCGGTTCTGGTTGCGGGGCACTGCCGCTCGGGACGCGAGGCGCTCTTTGGCGCGATCGCCGCACGAGCGGTTGAGGGCATCTTCGAGGCGATGCGGCAGCGACTGCAGGCTGGCGATCAGGCTGGAGGACTCACCTTCACACTGACCGCACGGTACGCCTTCATCCCTGCCGCCTCCACAGTCACCACCGCCACGGTCCCCTGCCTTTTCCCAGTGTAATTTTGCCTCCATTTGCTACCACTCGTGTGTCGCCACTATCGCCCTCGCCGCCGCCACCTCCAGGTACGCCGCAGTCGTGCACAAGGCACCGCATATGAGCGACCTTCTCTCCGCAGGGTCTGCCCAAGTCACAGTGGCTGCAGACCCTGCGGCCGCAGGAGGAGTCACTCTGCGCGGGTCCGCTGCGCGCGCCCTGCCGCAGCCAGGGGCGATCGGGGAGCTACTCCGCACTGCCCGCCAACGGCTTAGACAAGGGCGTCCTCCCCCGCCGTCCTCCGCCTTGCAGCTTGAGCTGAGGCAAGAGCACAAGGGCCGCTCCGCCGCACCGGATCGCCGGAGGTCGTCGTCGGAAGAGGCTAGCGGTGGCGGTGGCGGCGGCGGTGACGCTGACCTGGTCTCCTCGCTGCTGCTCGCAGACGTCGAGACAAACGCACTCGGAGACGGGCTGGCCAGCGGGCTTCGCCAGCTTCTCAGCGGCCCCGGCTCTGCGCACGCTGCGCACAGCGGGCCAGCATTGCTGCTTCGCGACGCCGTCGGCGGGAACTGCAAGACGGTGTTGCTCGGGACGGTGGCGCCGGAGGACTTTGCCGAGTCTTGCGCGACGTTGCAGCTGGTCGCACAAGGGGCGGGCTTCGTCAACTTCCCCCTCGTCAACGACGTGCGCGCACGTGGCTTGCTGGCGCCGTGGGCGCAACGCCCAATCCTCTCGCTTGGGGACGGCCTCTCTTCACGATCGGCTGGTGTGAGTAGGCGCACCACCGGTGGGTGAGCCTGCAGCTACAGGAACAACTCTCCGCTGCGGAGGGCCGGCTGCAGCACGGGGTCGATTTGCTCGAGGAGGACCGCAGGGCGCTGCCCAACCAGCTGCACGGGGCGGCAGCGCGGCTGCAGGCGCTGGTCGACCAGATGCAGCAGGATGCGAAAGGGGCTGCGGGCGAGAAGCAAAAGCTGATGGCGGAGGTACTTGAGCTGCGCACCCAGTATAATGGCGCGACGGGCGAAGTGGTCGCCCTCAAGGAGGAGGTGGTGGCCACCAAGCAGGAGAAGCTCGCCCTCTCAAAGGAGCTCGTGGCGACGCAGCTCTCCGCCAACGAGGAGTCAGCCGCGCAGGCCGAGCAGATCTTTAGCCTCGAGCAGGAGGCAATTGCATCGGCAGACCTTCTAGCGCAGCTGCAGGAGCGCGCCGCGAGCCTCGAGGCCGACCGTGACGGGAAGGCCAACGCGCTCGCCGAGCTGGAGACGACAGCAGAGACGGCACGGCTCGAGGCGGTGAGCTCGCAGGCGCAGGCGAGCAGTGCTCGCGCCGAGGCGCTCGAGGCGCGCGAGCGGGAAGACGATCTAGCGCTACAGCTGCTCAACATGAGCAACGCCTCCGCGACCGCCGAGTCTCGCCTCGCGGACGCTGCCGCACAGCTGGAGGCGGCGGAGCGAGAGGCCACGGCGCAGCGCTCGCGCGCTCAGGACGCCATCTCCGAGGCCGAGGCGGCGCGGGGGGAGGCGCTCAAGCTGGCAGAAGAGGTGTCAAGCCTCAATGTGGTGATGGAACGGCAGGCTCTCTCTCTGCAGCAAGACCGGCTGGCGCTGCAGCGGACGGCGGTCGAGGCGGCAGAGGCGCAGCTCGAACGGTCGCAGCAGGCCGAGGCGCGTGCTGATAGGGAGAGCCACGCGCTGGGCGAGGAGAGGGCAGCACGCGAGGCAGCGGTGGCCGAGTACGAGGCGGAGATGGGCGAGGCGCGTGCGCGCGAAACGGCGCTGCGGAGGGCGCTCGCCGATCAGGCGGCGCAGCTGGTTGCAGCAACCCGCCATCTCGAGCTCTTGGGGGGTGAGGTGCCGTACACGCAAGGGCGTGCCGAGCAGCGGATCGGTGCGGTGGGGTGGTGGGCGCAATCGATGCCACTATAGGGAAGCGTGCAGTGGCAGAAGCCGTCGAGGCACGCGCCGTGGCCTGAGCAGTCGCGCATGCAGTTCGACGAGAGCGGCTCGCATGAGGCGCCTGCAAAGCCGGTGAAGCACATGCACATCGGCCGCCTATTCACGGCGATGTGATGCGAAAGAGACCCCCCCCCCCCCGTCTTCTGAAGCTCTCTTTAACAGCGGCCACCCCGCGGTCCCGGTGCACCTGCCGCGCCCATTGCAGCCGGCGGGGCAGAGGGAGGGCGGGAGACTGTGCCACACGCCGCACCGGCCCTGTGCCACCAGGTCCACGCGCGCTCCATTCTTGTCGATTACCGACGCATCCCTCTCCCTCCTCTCGTCCTCTGGACCGCACAGCCGCTGTTCGCATTTCCATGGCTGCGAGTCGTTGTGGATGCACCTGCATGGCATGTGAATAGGTATACCTGCGGGAAAAGCCGATGGCGTGCGGCGTTGCGCTAAACCTGCGGTGCGTTAGCACTGGGAGCGAGCAGTCCGGCCCCCAGCGGTATGGACCGCAGTCGCACCGTGCCAGCGGCACCACCGCATCCGCCAGTGGCATCGCGCACACCCCTCCCTCGGCGCACCTCGCTGGACATGCCGCCTCTGCCGCCTCTCCTGCCGCCCCCTGCCGATTTGGGGCGGCAAAGTGCCACGCGCCGCCGGTGAGCACCGGCGTGGCCGCACCGGGCTGCGGCGGGAGGGGCGAGTCGCGGTGGCAGTACTGCGAGTAGTTTTCATCGACGCATCTGGCGGCGGTGCGTGGTGAAATTAGGTGGTGACAACGAGGAGGGTGAAGAATGCAGGAACGCACACACCGTCGGTAGAACTGGTCCCGCCCGCGACCAGTAGCGCCAGCGTAGAGCCACGGCGACGCCCACCTGCGTACCGTAGCGACAGTGACCACACGATCACCGCACGTGTGTTAGAGGCACAGCTATCGTGGGAGTGCAAGAGAGATAGCTGTGCGGTCGGTCCTGTTTGCGCGCGACTTGAGCCAGATGTGCTCGTCACGCAGCTGGGAGGCGAGCAGGGAGACGTTGAGCCGCGTCGGCGCCAGATCGTGCCGGTCCGCCTTTGCCAGCCACATCGAGACGCTTCGCCTTTTTCTCGGTCGCCGGCCCATCCGGCGAGGGCATGTTCGTTCGGACCAAACTTAGGACGGCCGATGGCGGGAGGGGGCGGATAAATATAACGCCACGGCGCTCTCGGGAAGAGATGAAAGGGATTTAAAGTTCGCCACTGCGCTCCCCCTCCCCCCTCCCCCACGCGGCAGGCGCGCGTGCTGCTGCTCGACCTCGGCCAGCCCCACGGCGCACCAAGCAGCCTCGGGCTCCTCTGACCGCGGTCGGCTCGGCCTGTCGCCCGCGGCTAGCCCGCCTCCCCAAGGGGAGGCGCCTTCTCCGCCGGACGGTCCCGGCGACCACGTGAGGAGACGGCGGTAGCCGCGCGCAGTCAAGTACATACATGCTGTGGTAGATAGAGAGAGACCGCCCCGCGCGCCGACACGACGCCAGTAACGCCGCCGACGTCTCTGATACGTTTATGTACTTGTGTACTCGAGGCAGTGGACCATGGTAGTGGGAAGTGGCGAGTGGCAGTCGCCGCGGACACGATGATCGGCGTGGCACACGTGCTGAGTCGTGTGTGCTCCCTTCTGCCTGAGGGCCCAACTTCAGAATCGTGCTTTGAGTTGGGTTGTTTCGTGTTGGGTTGGGTTGTTGGGTTGTTCCGTGAGTAGGCAAGGAGAGTTGGAGTATTTCACAGTATTTCCAGTATCCCAGTATCTGAGGTGCTGTGGCGCAGTATTCCAGTATTTCAGACACGCAAAGCAAGTATTTTTATTGCAATACTGCATGCTACCTGCACACGGCCCTTGGCCAAGTATCCCAATATCCCGCAAGCGAAGGTCAAGTATCGGTGGCGCAAATACCTCTCTGCCGCGAGGGTGATACTGCAATACTGGGCCTGGGGCATGCAGATATTGTGTTACTGAAGTAGTGTGGCCATGGCAGTATCGCGCAGTATTTTTACCGCAATACTCGGAGCCGGCGCATCGGATACTGGGATACTGCAGGATACTGCGGGATACTGCTGGATACTGCTGGATACTGGCAATTCATGGAAGTGTGCCCGTGTGTAAGCCATGGTCCAGCAGCCAGCTGCATCCCCATCCTTCTCACTGGTAGTTGTCACCATGCAGCTGCACCCCTCCCTAGAGCATTCCCGGCTAATGTGGATACCGGATACTGGGATACTGGGATACTGCGGACCGGCTTGGGCCACAAATGTCGCAAGTGGGCTGTGGTGATGGCAGGCGTTATGTGATTGTTCCAGAATGCATCGGCAGGAATTGTGATGTGTGGAAGCTCACGAGTTCTCCGACTGCCGCTCGACAGTCCGTAAAGAGCTCGTATCCGCTGCATTTCTGCCGCCGAGCTGAACAGCGGCGGTGAAGCACGGCCGGCTGTGTCAGGACCGCGCCCGGCGCTGGAGAGTGCTCGAGAGCATCTGACATCGTCGGCCGCAGCGGCAGGGTCGGCCGAGGTGATTCGTTTTAGCAGGGTCGGCCGAGGTGATTCGTTTTATGTGCAGGTCCGTCACCCGTTTGCCGTGATGCTCAGCGGCGGCGCCCACACCGGTGGGTTCACTCGAGACGGTCCGGCGCCAAGCAAAGAGGAGCGTCGGTTACCAGAGCCTGCTGTGTGGCGGTTTGTGGCCGATTGGGGTCGTGCGGGGCTGGTTGGGGTTGGCGGGAGGAGACACGAAGGAACTTCCGCGACATGACGCTCGAACTTTCGACCGTTCGACACCCTGGGGTCACTTGCGAGAGGCGCCGCTACGCCCGGCCGCCTGAGATGCAAAAGTTTGCACACGCCATTCAAGCGCTGCAGGCATTGCGAGCACGCTGGTGCTCCTGCGTGCCGGCGCCAAGCTTCAATTGCCAAGGCTGACGCTGCATCACAACGTTGATATCGCATGCGGTGCGCTTGTGGGAGCTGACGCGCCCAGCCAATCCAGCGCCCCTAGCCATCGAGATAGCTCTGGGACCCTTTTACGGCACAGCTGCTGTGTGATCTACTATGATTCCTGTGCGTGCGCCGCAGGACGTGACCACCTTGCTGCGCTCAATGTTCGCGGCCGTGACGCCTCCCCGATGTGAGTCTTCCTCCCCACACCACAGCACCAGCACCAGTGCACTGCCACGACACTCTCCCTCAGTTCCAGCACTGGCGCCTCAGCCGTCTTCGCCCACCTCGTGCCGTTGCCGCCTTCCCCACCCCGCCAGCCCTTGCACACGCGTTTACACCATTGCGCCGGCAGGGCGCGGGCACACACTTTACGGCAGTCTTCGCTTGCCCACGCTGCTCAATTGGCTCAATCCCTCCCCACCTAGCTGCTGCCTCGCATCCCGCTGCCGGACGTACGACTGCGGCCGCAGCGCAATGCATCGCTCGAGGGCCGAACCCAGATACTGGGATACTGCAGGATACTGCAGGATACTGCAGGATACTGCGGGATACTGGCCGTCTCTGATGCGGATACTGGGATATTCGGCGGGGCTGGAGGACCAAGTAGCGCCCAGTATTGCAGTATTATTACTTGGCATTTAGCTCTGCGATATTGGGATACTTCGCCGGCGTGGATGGATTACTGTGATACTCACCGGGTGCGTCATCACGAGTATCGAAGTATCCGCGGTACCAGCTCGGAGTATTGAAGTATTATTACTGCGCCATATCTCAAAGGGGAATCTTTTACAGTATCCCAGTATTTGAGGCCTGCTGCGAAGTATCCCAGTATCTGGTCCGGCTCCGCGAAGTAGAAGTAAGAAAATACTCCAACTCTCCTTGCCTACTGAGGTTGGGTCGTCGGCGCGAATGGTGAGGTCTCGACCGCCGCCGCTCACGCCAGCGGACGGCCACCATCGGTGTTTTTGGCTTCGCCACCGTCCAAGGCGTGCGCCATGCGCTCGCCGGCATCGAGCGAGCAACGTGATCGACCGAGCGGCTTGCTGTGTGGACGCCTTCTTCTGGCTCTCGTCGAGAGCGTTTTGCGTCCCGGCGGGTGGGAGAATATGTGTCGTCTGATGTGTCACTGTGTGCGTCACATCGGTCTTGATAACAAGCACGGTCGATCCGTCGAAGCGATACACTCGTTCCTATCACGCTGGAAGGCTTGCACGGAGCTCTGTGCCGGCACACAGCAAGAGCCGTGCGGCAAGAAGAGCTCGATGGGGAGCGAGAACCGTCAGAGGTGCTCACCCAGGTTTCGAAAGTCCGCCTTGATGCGGTCAGTTCCCCCCAGGTTTGACCGCGCAGCTCGCAAGACTCGTCGAGCACTCGCAGCCTTTCTGCGCCTCTGACTCTGCAAGCTATGCGGGAAGAGCAGTTTATCCGCAATATATCGACGAGTTCGAGAGAGCCACAGGCTTTCGCTCGGGAGGGATTGAGTGCATCGCGACGGACTTCAGGTTACACCTGAAAATCTGACGGTTCTCGCTCCCCATCGAGCTCTTCTCTTGCCGCACGGCTCTTGCTGTGTGCCGGCGCAGAGCTCCGTGCAAGCCTTCCAGCGTGATAGGAACGAGTGTATCGCTTCGATGGATCGACCGTGCTTGTTATCAAGACCGATGTGACGTACACAGTGACACATCAGACGACACATATTCTCCCACCCGCCGGGACGCAAAACGCTCTCGACGAGAGCCACAAGAAGGCGTCCACACAGCAAGCCACTCGTCGGACAGGCGTGCTCGCTCGATGCCGGCGAGCGCATGGCGCACGCCTTGGACGGTGGCGAAGCCAAAAACACCGATGGTGGCCGTCCGCTGGCGTGAGCGGCGGCGGTCGAGACCTCACCATTCGCGCCGACGACCCAACCTCACGCGGAACAACCCAACCCGGGCCAACAGCCCAACCCTACCCCAAAAGCACGATTCTGAAGTTGGGCCCTCTGCCTGCTAATGGCGGGATCAAAAGTTGGTCGCTGCGAGGAGAGGTCAAAAGTTGGTCGCTGCGATCTGGAGGAAATGGAATTCCCCCAACGCCCCATGAATTCCACTGAGCCTGACCAATTCTTGACTTGTTGGGCCCTCCGTGGACCGTGGGACCGTGGCCTCTCTCTCGAGGTATGGAGCTACAAAGCGGCCAATGGTAGTAGGATGTGTTATCTTCACGGCAGTTATGTTATTTCCGTACACGTTGTCCCGTTCCCCCAATAAATAAATAAATAAATAGAGCAGTCATCTCCGTTCCCCCAGGACCTGCCGAGCTTTGACTTGTCGATTTTTTGTAGAACCGACGGCGAGGCGGCGGCGCCTTGCCGATGGCAAGCGATTGCACAGCAGGGGAGCTCGACTGCCGGCTCTTTGAGCTATACGATGAGTACGGCCTCGCACTCCGCATTGGCCTCCTGTGCCTCGGCGTGCAGCTCGCGTGCACGGCGCTCTTCAAGGCGCTACCGGCGGGCGGCAGCTTTGACACGACTCGCTTCCCCGTGTTCCTCGCGCACCAGGTCGTCGCCCTCCCGCTAATGATCCTCCTGACCTACATGGGTTGCGCCGCCTACTACAGTCCCGCGGCCGACTCCCAGCTCGCCGACGCGGCCGGCGCGCACGGGCGGAGCACGTACCCCGTCGCCGCCGGCCGGGACATCTCCCTGGTCATCCTCGGGATGCAGCTCTTCTGGGACCTGCCCGTGACATTGCACGCCGAGATGTATGACGCTGTCAACCTGGCGCACCCACGTCGGGACGGCGACTTCTGTGGCCCTGCGGAACCGTCTCGGAGCCTTCTCGGAGCCTTCCCCATAGGCGCACCACGTGGGGATGGCCATCTCTGCGGCCCTCTCGCTCTCGCCGTACGTGCAGTACTGGGTCCCCTTCTTCGGCGGGCTGATTGAGGCCCCCCCCCTTCGCGCCGCGTGCGTCGGGTGCTCCGTTGTTAAGCTCCTTCTCCCTTTCCGGCTGGACTCATAGGCCTCCTCCATCCCCCTCGTCCTCGCCGACGTCTTCCACCCCAAGCGGTACCAGGACTTTGCGGAGGCGACGGCCGGCCGCTCCAAGGCCAACTTTCTGCTGCGCGTCACCTTCCTCCTCGCGTACCTGCTCGTGCGCTGCGTCTGGTTCCCCGCAACGGTGGCCTTTGGCGTGGGGCCGGATCTGCTCAGCGAGCTGCGCGGCGCGGAGGACGCGGCCGCAGCGCTCAGCCCCGCGCTGGCGCTGCTGCTGATCCTGCCCCTCACCTTCCTGCAGCTGCACTGGGGCCGGCTCCTCGTCCGGCAGGCGATGAAGGCGCTCGCGCCGCCGCCCGACGACAAGCCCGCCTATGACCAGCTCGACGACCAGCACGTGCTCTAAAAGCCGCGGGCTCCGTCCATGTCATCGGTGGGTGGGGGGTTTTGGAGCTGACTTTACGTTTGGAATCCGCTGCTGCTGCTGCTGCTGCTGCTGCTGCTGTTACGTCTTCGGTCCCCGCGGGAAGCCCCGCGCATAGGACAACAACGTCTGTCCCACACACGCACAGACACGCGCACATACATCATGCTCGGGGGCACCCCCCACAGTGTAGTCGTGGTGTGAGCACACAAGTACTAGCAGAGTGCACACCTAAGAATCAAAGCCTCTTGGTTCTTACGCGCGCTCGAGGGAGTTACCAAACTGAGGTAGCGAAAAATAAAAAAAACCGGCACAGTCCGCACCGCCTCGCGAAAGGGGTGAAGCAACGATCAACTCCAGCTTGGACTTGGCTCTTGGAACTTGGGTGCGACGCGTCGTTCACTTTCTTTTGAGAGCGCCTTCGTTGTTAATAATACAAACAGATGGTCACTTGCCACAGTCACATACACGCACACACACACACCGCACCGCACCCCGCACTCTCACGCCCCCCGCCCCCGCGCCTAGCGCTACCGGTACTCAGTAGGCTGGAAGGAGATGAGGAGATGGAACAGCCCGAGGAAAGGAGCGAACAACACGTAGGTGGTATGTCGTGATGGGAGGTTAAAGTTGTGCGTTGTTCACGCTGCCCGGCAAGAAATGGCTCAGATCCAGGAACTCACTGCAAATTCTTTTTCGAACGCACCTCGGAGCACATAAATTCCGCAGTACGGTCATGATCGGAGGAGCTCTCGCCGCCGCGTCCACGGGCCTCGTGACACTGCAGCCGGCCGCCGTGCCGCTGCACTCGCCCATGCATCTGGCCGTGCCCGCGACTCGTCCGGCGGTAGCCACGATGTCGCTGCTCCCGGACCACAGCAGATTCGCTCCGCAGCAGCTCGCCTCGCAGGTGCTTGCGGCGGTGCTCGCGGCGGGCGTGGCTTTGGGCCCTCCAACGGGGCTGGAGGCGGCTGAGGCGGTGGAAGACGTCAATGCCGTCGCGGCGAAGGCCGCAATCAGCCGCTACAACACCCAGAAGGCGACCGTCGCCGCCACCGCTGTCGTCGCGGCGCCCGTTGTCGAGCGGAGCAGCGCGCCGTCGGCGGCGCCTGTCGCCGCGCCCGCCGCGGGTAGCTACGCGAGCGCCGAAGACGCCCTCAAGAAGGAGCAGCGCAAGGCCGCCAGGCCGGCGGCCGCGGCCAAGAAGGCGCCGGTGCCGGTGGCGGCGCCAGCAGCGCCCGCCCCGGCGCCGGCGCCTCCCGCTGCAGCGTCCAAAGTGAGTGCGACGAGCGAGGCGGCGGACCGGGTGGCGGCGGCGGCGGCGGCGCGCAAGGCCAAGGAGGCCGCCGCGGCGCCGGGTGTGCCTGCGCCCTCCAAGGCTGCCGAGGCGACCAAGGCGAAGGTTGCGGCGGCCAAGGCGGCAAAAGCGGAGAAGGCGTCCAAGGCTGCGGCGCCGGCGGAGAAGGGCGCGGCGGGCAGCAAGGCGGCGCGCGAGGCGAAGGCGTCCACGCCCGCGCCGGCCGCCAAGGGCGAGGCAAAGGTGGAGGCCAAGGCGCGGTCCTAGAGCGAGGGGAGTGGTGGGGCGTGAGACGCGTCTCACAGCCCGGGCGCAGGATGGACTTGGGGCATCGTCCCGCCGACGCACGCTCGCGACGCGATCCGCCCGCAGGTGCGGTCTGAGGTGAAGAGCGCAGAGGTGGCGCTGGCGTCGGCCAAGAGCGAGGCGAGCAAGGCGGTGAGCGCGGCGAGCAAGAAGAAGGCTCGCGAGATCAGCCGAGATCAGCCGAGACCAGCCGAGCAAGAAGCGTGCTCAGTCGAGCCGAGGTCGCCCGAGATGCGACACCACGCGAGCAGGAGGCGTGCTTTCGCGCGAGGCGGCGCGGTGGGACGCGGCGGTGGTGGGTCGTGCTTCTCACTCACACACGCGTGCGCCGTGGCCTCAGGACCCGAAGCTGAAGGCGGCGGCGGAGCGGGCGAACAAGGGCGTTGAGGCGTCGGCACGCAAGCTGAGCGCTGCCAAGGCCAAGCAGCAGGCCGAGGCCAAGAAGCTCGAGGCCGATTTGGCTAAGGCTAAGACCAAGGCGCTCGCCCACTTGCACCGTCGCCTTGCACTCGCGCAAGGCTGCGGCGGCTCCTTGACTTGGGGGGAGGGGAGGGGGGGAAGGGGGGCTCGACGCTGTGCGTGTGGACGCACTTCACCTTGCCCCCTCCGAAGGCGCGCGAGGCTGGCAAGGTGGCCGCCAAGAGCGACTCCGCAGTCAAGCAGGAGCCCCTGCACCCCGGCCACACCCCGGCCACACCCCGGCCACACGCCGGCCACACCCCGGCCATGCCTCGGCCACACCCCGGCCATGCCTCGGCCACACACCCCGGCCATGCCTCGGCCATGCCTCGGCCACCCCGGCTCTACTTCGCTGATTCGACCCCGCGACCAAGCAGGCGGCCGCTGCCAAGGGCCAGGCCGAGAAGGCAGCCGCAGAGTCGCAGGTTCGAGGGCGGCGAGAGGGCCCCGAGAGGACGCGAGATGAGCCGAGATAGGCCCTCGCCGAGGCGCAGAAGAAGGCGGACGCGCTGGCTGCAGCCGCCGTCAAGGCGTCAAAGGCGGGCGCAGAGCAACGAAGGCAGAGGCCGTCCGAGACCGTCCGAGATCACCCGAGGTCGCCCGAGGTCGTAGGCGGAGCAGGCGAAGGCGGCGAAGGCTGTCGCTGACGCCGACAAGGCGACGAGGCCGAGGGGGCGAGATCACCCGAGATCACCCGAGATCACCCGAGATCGCTCGAGATGTCAGGCGGTCGACAAGGCAAAGAAGGAGATCGCGGCGGCGGGCGCCAAGGGCGATTCGGGCAAGGCACCGCCACCGGCCCGAGAGGGAGAGGTGGGCTCTGTGAGCAGCGTCTCTTCACAAGCCGCGGCTGTGAGCAGGCGTCCGTTGCGTCCAAGCAGCTCGAGGCGGCGCAGCGCGCCAAGAAGGCTGCGGCCAAGGGCGCGGAGGCGGCAGACAAGGCTGCTGCCGCGGCAGCAAAGGCCTCCAAGGCCAAGGGCGCGGCGGTCATCAAGGCGCGAGCGGGAGTCGAGATGTGGCCGGAAGCAGCCGAGAAATGTGCCCACATTGGGAGGAGGGGCGGGGCCTGTCCATTCCCCGCACTTGTGGCAGGCCGTGAAGGCGAAGAGTGGAGGCTTATCCGAACCATCCACGAACCCTCCTCCCGACCTCCCTGTAGGCCGTCAAGGCGAAGGTGGAGCCGTCGGCGGAGAAGGCGAAGACGGCGGTGGCGGTGGCCAAGGGTGCCGACGCCAAGGCGGCCGAGGCGGCGGCCAAGGTTGCGGCGCTGGAGAAGGCGCTGCAGTCGACGCGCTGAGCTGCGGAAGGGCCTGGGGTGGAGGGGTGGCTGCCTCTCGGGTGTGGGCCATGGCGGGCGGGGGGT